GTCATGGACAGGTCTACTGGGGCCTGTGCTATGCTAGGAACTACTTGCTGAACAGTGACTAGGTTGTTTTTGAGAAGGGCCAAGTCTTGCCAAAGAACTGGGAAGTCTGTGCTATAATGAGTCTTCATCTGGGCTTGCCAGAGTGTCCACAACGTCCTTCCTGGACACAGATGCTTGTACCACCAAATGATAGGAGAGGTCATAGGGCCCACTTGTATCGAGACCTAAACCTGATACAGAGTCCCTCCTGGTTCTGCGTCCACTCTACACTAGTGACTTCAAAATTAGCTAATAAATGGAATGGTGTAGCTTATCCAAGTGTGGAATGTGTTGTCTCAACACTCAACACTCAACACTCAACAAGGTAGTGTGCCTTGTGCCTCAGTGGTTAGAGGTACAAGATGCAAGCACTTGTCCTTTACTTCGGAGAGGATGTGCCTGCACTCCTCAGATTTCTGGAACCCTGACATAGCCACCAGGGAGGAGGCCCAAATGAATTTTTGTAGTGTTTGATCCCACTGTTGGAGCTCATGTGTTTTTGCAAGTTAGTGAAGTCCTCACCACTTCTCACTCATCATGTGCAATTAACAGGATGTAATTGATAGAGTATGGCCGGACGGGATGCTCTGAGGATGTTTATACAACACACTGGAGCAGAGAGCAGGGAGTTAACATAGCCCTGGGCTGAGACTGAGGATGTGACCCACTCTTCACTGCAGGTGAAAGCAATGTCCACCAGAGGACTGCATTACACCATATGCCATGCCCCCTGCTGGTAGACCTTGTAGTTGGCCAAGATGGGGTAAGCACTTTCAAAATCTCCACATGGCCAGAAGAGGGAGACAACATACTCAGAGAAGAATGGGGCCCAGTGGGGGGATTCTTCTGATAAACTTAATTATTGAGTATTTTAAGCAATACAAATGCCCCATAATGTGCATATCTTCTTCCTCTTAGACCTGAAGTACTTCTGCCACTCAGAGTCTAATAACAGAGTCTTTGGGTGTGTGGCAGGAACACACTGGACCCATTGAAAGCAGAAAGATGGTGACTCCATCACAGCTTCCTGGCCTTCTGCTCCTCTGGGTTCTAGGTGAGAATATTTGGTCAAAGCAGATTAAAGTGCGGTATGATTTTCCGTGCCTGATTTTCTTTCTTCGTTGGGAATCCTTCCATAGATGAATTTAGTTTATTTTAAAAATAAGTAGTATTCTGTCAAATCTAACTAGATACTGGTGATTTCCATGTACATATCCTGAGGTTCTGCTAATGTTTCCTGTGTGGTTTCAGCCTCCCATGAAGAGATTGTGCTGACCCAGTCTCCTGCCGTCCTGTCCATGGCTCCAAAAGAAGGAGTCACCATCACCTGCCGGGCCAGTCAGAACATTAACAAGTGGTTAGCCTGGTACCAGCAGGAGCCAGGGAGAGCTCCTAAGCTCCTAATCTATGAAGCATCCAAGTTGGAAGCTGGGGTCCTGTCGTGGTTCAGCAGCAGTGGGTCTTCACTCTCACCATCAGCAACCTGGAGCCAGAAGATGCTGGGATCTACTACTGCCTGCGGTCTAACAGCTACCCACACACAGTGTTACAGGTCAGAGCATAAACCACCAGGGAAGCAGACATGAGGGGCTTGGCTGCCCCCACTTCTCCTCTGATTCCTGCACCTGCTCAGACAGTTTCTCAGAGGCAGCAGCTATATGGAGGTCACGGGGGTTTTGGGAGAAGGGCAAGGAGGATCCTTGGCCTCCTGACAGACTCCCTTTCCCCCAGATCATTACACCTTAGGAGTGTGGGTGATGGCATCCATCGGCGTCTATACAGCAAAAGAGAAGCCACTCTAGCTATTCCAAGCAGGAATTGCTTCCCCTAGGGAAGTAGTCTAAATGTCACTCTTTCAAAGACCTGGGGATGTAGTAATAAGGGAAGCAGACACTAGAAACAGTGATTCCTCAGTGATCCCGGGTAAGTCGGAGAATTTATGCCATTGGAGATACAGGTTGCCTAACCACGCGATCCTCAGGCCTGTCTAGGAGGGCCGGGAATGGAGGCACAGATACTCTAACCAAGAAAGAACCAAGATGCCCTTCAATGGACGAATGGATAAGGAAGATGTGGTCCATATACACTATGGAGTATTATGCCTCCATCAGAAAGGATGAATACCCAACTTTTGTAGCAACATGGATGGGACTGGAAGAGATTATGCTGAGTGAAATAAGTCAAGCAGAGAGAGTCAATTACCATATGGTTTCACTTATTTGTGGAGCATAACAAATAGCATGGAGGACAAGGGGAGATGGAGAGGAGAAGGGAGTTGAGGGAAATTGGAAGGGGAGGTGAACCATGAGAGACTATGGACTCTGAAAAACAATCTGAGGGTTTTGAAGGGGCGGGGGGGGGGGGTTGGGGGAACCAGGTGGTGGGTACTAGGGAGGGCACATATTGTATGGAGCACTGGGTGTGGTGCAAAAACAATGAATACTGTTATGCTGAAAAGAAATTAAAAAAAAAAAAGAAAAAAAAGGAATTACAAAGACCACAGTAAGAATAAATGAAAATTATATGCAATTCTGTCAGAATAACTGGACTTAGATTTGTTTGTTTCATGGCTTCTGTACCCTCCTACAGCTTGCCATGAGAATGATGTGCCATGGGTAGTCACCACACTGTGTCTTGGCCCCAGATCAAACACAGTCCATAGACTGGAGAACCATTCATCTCCCTGATGAAGAACCACACAGCTGAGCCCTGAGTACATTATCCAAATTATTGTCAACATGAACATCCATGACTATAGAAACAAATGCTTAGTATGACAAGCCACTGAGTTTTTGTCTGGTTTGTTAAAATAGTGGGTAAAATCTAACTAGTACAGTTTTTAAACATCTCAGCATAGAAATTGACAGGTTTTATTAAACACGATGGCATAAAAATGAATACTTGGAAATCCATTCATAAGAAGATACAAAACAAAGAAATGTTTTTAAACAAATTGGAATTAAACGTGTAAAATTCACCCCATTGTAGAAACATCTAACTACAATTACTTAGAGTAATGGTGATCAATTCTGTAGATAATTCTGACTTATTACATGTGATTAAATCTAAAGTAAATAATGAAATTATATATATGAATGAATGTCCATATGCATATATATGTATATATGTATAATATGCATACATGTACATACATTTTTGATGTGTTTATACAATTATCTTATGAATTAAATGGATTAATATGATTCCAGTAACTCCCCATAAAAAACTAGTGTCCAGATAAAGTACTAACCAGGTTTAAGGAATTTTCTTTACAATCTTTGTTTCTATATCATACACCAACTGGTATACCTATCTGAATATATGTTTTCTCACTCACTGGAGGTCTAAGGGTTTGAATGGAGTTATTTCTTCCTACAAACCACTACATCCCATGAAATCCCCATTATCTCTATGTCCACATTCATGTCATGAATTCCAAGTATAAGATATTATCCAATCTTTTTTTTTATTTTATGGTGGAATCTATTAATATTCTCATGGCATAGGTCACAACTCTTACAATTTACAGAGAAAATAACAACTAAATGAAACTATGAATCAACAAACATAAAACAGACTGACTGAAAATTGAAATCATGGGTAATACCACTTGTCCTCAAGTGGGACACAGAGGACAATACTCAGTTGTCTGAGAGGAAGCATATCATTTCAGCCCTATTAATTCTCTTTAGCTGGGCACATTTGTGCAGTGCACAAACCAAGCTACGCTATGGAGCACTCCTGAGTCCCCAGCCTCTGCTTCTTAACACATATCACTTGATTTCATCCCTATTGCTCAGAGCCCTCAAATAGGAACTCTGCTCATGACCTCCATTGAAGAATAGCTTCAAACAAAAAAAGGGAGGGAGAAATATGATATCTCCTAATCATGACAAAGATCATATTCTATATTCAGATTTTCCACATGACTCTGTAAAGAGGTGATGTGGCAACAAGGACAGGGCAATGAGAATGGTAATGCCCTGCTGTCATTGAGAAGAACACAGCTATTACGTGTTTGTTAACAGAAGGGTGCTACCAACGGTAGTCATAGATGCACCTGCCCTGTGGTTATCCTCCTTGACAAACAATACTGACTTTGTTGGATAGAAAAGAGTAAAGGAAACCTCATCTAAGCTGGGAAGTTTTCCTACACATACCATTCCATGGTTAGAGTCTGCATAACCAACAGGAAGAAAATGTAAGAATTCTCTCGACAAGGGAGGACATTTTTCATATAGGAATTCACTTCCTGCTTTTAAGAAAAAGAAGGATGATCTCTCGCAGCAAGTAACAATCACTGCTTGCAGCCAATGAGAAACCATCACAACCTCCAACTGTCCTCCAGTGAGCATTTGTACAAAACGATCCGCCCCAATCTTCTCCTAATGCATAATAAAAGCGGACCTTCCTTTTGCCTCTTCAGACTCAGCGGCAGTTTGCCATAGTTTGCTTTGACCCAAATTGCAATTCTTCTCCTTTTCTCAAGTAAGCTTATTTTGCTAGTAAAATAACTGGCTATTTTTTTCTTTAAGGTTGAAAAGTGGACTAGTAGAATTATTAATTCAGAATAATGATAAAATTAAAAATTCTTGGTGGGGGGCCAGAGAGAAGGGCAGAGCTAGAGGGGGAAAAAGAATCTTAAGCAGTCTCCGAACTCCACGCAGAGCCCGATGCAGAGCTTTGTGTCACATCCCTGAGATCGTGACCTGAGCTGAAATCAAGAGTCTGATGCTGAACTGACTGAGCCGCCCAGGTGCCCCATCACTACTGATTTTTAATGTCAACACATAAGTAAAGCAACCTCTCCAGGGCCCTGGTCAAGGATATGAATCTACAATTGTATGACATCTATTAGGAAGGGGGCCTGGTTTAGCAGCTTGGTTCCTAAATTCCTGTACAAATCCATAGGTTTTCAGTATCATAGAAAGCAAAGAGAAAGACAAAACACTGTCTTTGATGGAGACATAATTTGGTCATTCATTTTTCTAATTTTCTTAACCTATTAGGAACAAGTTGATTTTAAAACTTTTATGGAATTTTAATGGACAAATAAAAGCAAAAGCAACATTTAAGAACAAAGTTGTAGAACTGCAATAGCCACAGAATGAGCAAAAAGCAATTACCTACTTTATTTATTTATTATTTATTTATGGTTAACATACAACATTGGTTTCAGGTATACAACATAGTGATTGAACATTTCTATAGCTAATGCAATGCTCACCACGATAAGAGTTACCATGTGTCACCATACAAAGTTATTAAATATCATTGGCTATATTCTCTATGCTGTACCTTACATTCCATGAATTATTTATTTTAGAACTGGAAGTATTACTTATTCTTTGGTACAGTTTTTCCCCCTTAAATGCATCACAGTATGAATAAAAATGTTTCTGTATGGTATACATTGGCTTTACAAATGTGTTTGAATTCCCCCAAACTATTTCTTTTATTTTTTTTTAAGATTTTATTTATTTATTTGACAGACAGAGATCACAAGTAGGCAGAGAGGCAGGCAGAGAGAGAGGTGGAGGCAGGCTCCCTGAGGAACAGAGAACCAGATGCGGGGCTCGATCCCAGGACCCTGGGATCATGACCTGAGCTGAAGGCAGAGGCTTAACCCACTGAGCCACCCAGGCGCTCCTCTTTTATTTTTTTTAAAGATTTTATTTATTTATTTGACAGAGATCACAAGTAGGCAGAGAGGCAGGCGGAGAGAGAGGAGGAAGCAGGCTCCCCGCTGAGCAGAGAGCCTGACGTGGGGCTCGATTCCAGGACCCTGGAATCATGATATGGGCCGAAGACAGAGGCTTTAACCCACTGAGCCCCCCAGGCACCCCACAAACTATTTCTTCTATATTAAATCATATAGAGAATAATCTTTCTACATTTTTATAAAAAGTTAATGCTGATATAAAGATATGAAAAGATAACATGACAAAGAATAAATAGATCAATGTCACCCACACACATAAATCCATAAATGTAGATAACATTTTAATATTTTCTTCCCCTTATATTATAAAAATATGGTGGCAGGATATAGTAAATTTCAAGAATATTAGGAATTAGCAAGAAGGTAAAAATACTTCAACATTAGGAAGTTTATATGAATAAAATGGTGGTTTTCTTTTTGCCTGATTTTAAATCACGTGGAAATAGTTAAGAGAGCTTGGCATTTGTGCAGGGAATTTTTGGGAAGGTTGAGCACGATACAGCCTCTGACTCATGTGCGAAAGGCACCCGCAGAACACAGAGCACTGGTCCTCTCGGCCACAGAGCCGCTAAGAGGGAGGACAGATTTCCCTGATGTTCTGAGGTCAGGAGTTTAAAGGTTCGTCTGCAAATGCTGGTTGTGCGCTATGATGGGAATTCACCTTCAGGGCTGTGGCTGGACACAGGGACATAGACAGCCACCCTCTGAGCCACCATATGGGAGCAACTGTGGGTCCTGAGAGGCTGCCAGCGGGAGAGAGGACATCTGAGATGCTGTGGATCTTGACCTGAGAAAAAATTGGACAAACAGAACCCTCTCACTTCAAAGAATCCCACAGGCTTGCAATGTAAAGCTCAAATAAAAAAAAATCACAAGGTACTCAGGATTGAGGGTGATTCACAATAACCCGCTTCCCACCTGAGCAGCCCTGTAGATGTCTTCTGGGAAGAGCAGCTCTGGGGCATTTTATGTTGAACCAAGCGGGTGATGATCCTGGGAGCCCCAGTGAGCCCAGATGATCTACTGATGTAATCATAATATAATGGGTTCTGAATAAAACCTTTTCAATCACAAAGGTAGATGAGATAAAGGTACTTAACACCCTTTTACACACATTTCTAATTTTCATGTAAAAACAGTTAATAGACCAAGAATGGAGTCAGCATCTAGGTTTCACCAAATACATTTCACCCAAATTTAGGGTCATTTATGAGAATAAAAAAATAATGGTATTAATCATACCACTGGATCTGTATGAAGGTGGGGGGGCTTGTTTCCCAGGCATCAGCTCCTTCCCTCTTCTCCCCTGGGGCTCACGGCATCCATCCAAGGTAAGGTATAAAGATGGAGGCTTCCAGGACTTTCTAGAGCATAATGTCCTGGAAAACCCACAGACAAAAGTGTGTATTCATAGGAAAGCTTAGGTCTTAGGGAGTCATCTTCTTTTCATTTCTCATTCTTAGGAGGAAGACCCCCTGTTCTAATCACAAACTCTTGGACTCTGAGGAAAGACAAGGATCACAAAATATAGAGACTTTTTTTTTCTGACAAACAGCGGGGTGAAGATCCCCCGGGATGAGATGCGAACCCTGCTCTGTGTGATCCCCCAAAAGGCACTGGTTCTGCACATGCCACGGACCTGCCCAACCGCTCAGCGATTTGCATGTTTCCCCCAGAGCCCATTTCTGCTCTTCAGCATCTTCATGAAGAGGCTGCTCAGACATTTGAGGCAAAAAATAGCCTCAGGGGGGCACCTGGGTGGCTCAGTGCTTAAGCCTCTGCCTTCAGCTCGGGTCATGATCTCAGTGTCCTGGGATCGAGTCCCGCATCGGGCTCTCTGCTCTGCAGGGAGCCTGCTTCCTCCTCTCTCTCTCTCTCTCTGCCTGCCTCTCTGCCCACTTGTGATCTCCCTCTGTCAAATAAATAAAATCTTTAAAAAAAAAAAAAGAAAAGAAAAGAAAAAAAAGAGCCTCAGGCTGGGCTGCAGATCGAACATGGGAGTCCTGACCCAGCTCCTCTGCCTTCTGCTGGCCTGCCTCCCAGGTGAGGAAGGGAGTGCAGGGGACATCCTGGAAATGGTGGGAGTCCTCTCCTCCTGGCTGTGGGATCTCCCCAGGGATCCTCCCTCTGATTCCCTGACCCCGGGTCTCCTCTCCCTTCGTAAACCCAGGTGCTCTCAGATTAGGGGACCAGGGCTGCCAGAATCTTCTGGGAGGAACATGGAGTGGGACCTGGTAAACAATGGTGACTTTGTGTTTTGCTCTCTACCGAGCTGCCCGTGGGCACGCGGGGCTGACCCAGTCTCTGGCCTTCCTCTCCTTGTCCCTGGGAGAGGGTGTGTCCAACACCTGCAGGGCCAAGGAAAGCGTCAACGATTACTTGAGCTGGTATCAGCAGAAAACAGGCCAGGCTCCTCAGCATCTCATCTATGATGCTGATAACCTCAAGTCTGTTATCCCAGACTGGTTCTCTGCCATTCAGTCGGACAGAGAATTCATCCTCAAAATCAGCACGGTAGAGGCTGAGGATGCTGCTAGTTATTACTGCCAGCAGGATTATATCCTTCCTCCCAGGGTGCTACAGCCCCAACCTCCGGGCTGGGTCTGGACGGCAAAGGGAGCAGTGGGCTGTGCTGGCGGTGGTTCCGGCAGCTGCATTTTGCTCTGTGGTCTGTTCATCCGAGCAGGAGATGCTTTGGGGAAGGGCTAGCAGGGCTCAAGGATCAAGGGACTTTGTCCTTCGAAAGCTTCCTTTCTTGATAACACAAATCCCAAACCTCAGGAATTCTAAAATGAAATTTCTCTTGCAGGCCTGCAACAGAATTCATCCACAGGATGGACCTTGAACCATATCTCTGATAAACGCTCTGTGAAGTAGGCAAAAAAAGGGAACCCGCATCCAAGCAAACACTACTACTACTACTAATACTGCTACGACCAATACTAGTATTGCAAATACTAGTACGACAAATGTTAATACTAATACTTCAGGCACTACTACTGTAATGCTACTACCACTAATAAAAATAATAAACATCAACAACTACAATGCCCACTGCCATTGAGTGAAATCTTGAGGACTTACTATGTATTGAATATTGCATGAAGGACTCATTCATCTAGTGCAATTCATCTCGCAATAATCGTCTAGAGATGAGAAATCAGGGGTTCTCAGAGTTTACGTTACTCAACATACCAGTGGTTGTAAAGGAAGTAGATGGAAAAAGTATCGGTTGTTTTGTCTCCATAATTTCTACTCATTATTTAACTACATTCATTAAAAAAAAAAAATAGTACAACTAAACACAGATCAAGGCAGAGACTGTCTCTAGCATCCCAAAAGCTCCATCAGGCTCCTTTCCTGTCAATTCCATGCCCACCCCCCACACACATACCATGAGAGGCCACCCCTCTTCTGTTTTCTATCCATATTGAGCCGATATTCTCTGTTTTTGAACTTCATATAAGTGGAATTATACAGTACATAGTTTTTTAATGTCTTGTTTCTTTTCTTTGGATCAACATGTTCTTTGAATTTCATCTCTGTTGTTGGTGTGGCTACCATTCATTCTTTTCCTGCTGAACAGTTCACTATTATATAAATACATCACAATTTTTCATTCACAAGAATAGTACAGAAGTCTTATAACTTATAGGAAAAGTGGGCAAGCCTCAGTGTATTTCAGACATTTCTTAAGACAGTGTCCCTTTTATTTTTGGATCATCTTTGCATACATTACACAGCATGTGTCTAATAGAGAAAATATCCATGAAGCTATTCTTACCATCAATGCATACAACATACTTTTGTTTTCTATTTTAATCTATTTAATCTATTAGTCAAGCTTTCATTATTAAAACATATGGTCATGACACTAACTCCTTAGCCCTAGAAAACAGCCCTAGATCTTAATGTGGTTGTCGATGAGACATACTTGGATTAGTTCTAAGTTTGTCTTCCACATGTCCCTTTATTAGGTTCCTCAGTACACCTAAGATGACCATGATTATGGGAACACTGAACACAGTAGTGATAATAATAAAATAAAAAATAATATATGTTATATATTTGATACAGTGCTAAATACCTTACTTTTGTTTAAACTGCAAACAGAACCATTGTTGTCAGAGTTTTAAAGACACAGAAACTGAGAAAATGGGAAGTTAGTGAACGGGATCAATATCACACTTCCATAAGCAATGCAGCTTTGTCCCCAGCCCTAATGGGGTGACTTCAGGGACATCTCTGATAATATCAGGACCTTTGGATGGTTAATGTGTGACTGACAGTAAGCTCTAACTCCTGATGTGATGACCATTTATGTGGAAGTTGGAGTAGCAGTGATAAAACTGCTTCCTTGATATGTACAAAAAAGGTTGGGAAAGCGAGAGTTAAATAGCTTCCGTTTTCTTCTCAATGGGCTTGTGCCAAGCACCATCTGGAGGAGTTTAAGTGATAGGTAAGGCAGGAGGACACAGGAGAGAAATCCTCCCCTCAGGCTGAGCCTTTGGCTTCCTCTGCCATCAGTACCTGGGGATGGGTTGCTCAAGGGCAAAGAAAAGGAAGGAAATGGTCTCGGGAGCTGGAAGCCCAGATGGCCCTTTGCAGCCCACCCTGCTGTCCAGAGCCCATGTCAATGCCTGGGTCAGTGCTCTCGGGGGAGATCTGCCTCAGTTTGGACACAGATCGAATCATGGAAGCCCCAGATATCTACAACACATATAATCATCAAATAGCTTCTGATAAGCCTAGAGAAATAACTAGTACAAGTAAGGGGGAAAAAAGAGCCACAATAAGGAATTATTTGTGCAAAGATGGTAAGTAATTGTATACAAAGGGGGTAAATTTGATAAGTAATGCAGGAACTGCCCATGAAAATCTCACTGTGTTGTTGCTACGGCACAACCAGATGGGATAATGTTGAGCAAACTGCCAAGGTTAAGTTGTGGTGAGGCTGAAGAGCTAGTGGACATTTCACATGCTGCTGCTGAAATGTGCATCGGCACATTCGTGTCGGAAAGTTGTTTGTGATTATCTACAAATGAGGAATATATGCACACCCTGGGGCTCAGTACTTTTTTACTCTGATATACACAACAGAATTGAGAGTGTACGTGCTCAAGGAATGTCATGACAGTGTTGCTGTCAAACTGGAAACAACCAGTTACTGATCTAGAATGGAATGGCTGCTTCAATTATGGTATTTGCAAACATCTTTATCCACTCTGTGCTTTATCTGACTGGTAGTTTTGAAACCTGTGACAATTTCGATGCCACCCAAATTACCAATCTTTCATACAGAGTACCCTTCATGTCTTATCTGAAGAGCCATTTCATAGCTCAAATTGATGAATATATTACTACTTATTATTTTTCTAAGCTTTATCACTGGAATTTAGTTCTATAATCTAGCTGGATTGGGTTCTTGGACATGACACAGAGTAGGGGATCAGATTTCATTTCTCTTTCAGTAGGAATATCCACTTGAACCATCCCATCGTATTAGAAAGAACATTCCTTTGTTAATTGTCCTAGGAGTCATGTGTCACAAATTAAGCATCCCCATAGATATATGTCTGTTCGTGGACTATGTTTCATTCCCCTGCTCTCTCTTACATCTTTGTTGCATGCTACAGTGCCCTAATTACTGTGACTATAAATAAGTCTTTTCAAAAAAAGATTTCATTTATTGATTTGAGAGTGAGTGAACATGAGCTGGCGGGGGAGGGGCAGAGGGCAAGGGAGAAGCAGACTCCCCACTGAGCCAGGAGCCAGACCCAGTTCTCCTTCCCAGGACCTGAGCAAAAAGGCAGATGCTTAACCAACTGAGCCACCCAGGAGCCCCATGTGTATTTAAATAAGTCTTGGTAATCAATGGAGTATTCTCTCAAAATTGTTCTTTTTCAGAATTGTCTTGGTTCTTTTTAGCTCAGAATTCCTTATACATTTTATAATGTGCAAAAAAAGTAACTGGGTGTTTATTGGAAGTACATTGAAACTAAGGATCAATTTCTTGAGACAGACATACTGAGTCTTTGGATGCATGAAAATGTCATATTGTTCCATTTATTCAGGTCTCCTTTACTTTCTCTTCGCAAAGATTTATTATCTTTGGGTCTGTATGGTGCGTAGACCAGGTAGTTAACAATGCATGTCCTCTCTTATGCACGTTCAGCTTACACTTTATTTCTAATTGCCAATGCAATAAATTATCCTAGAAAAATGTTTGCTCTGTTTCTGTCTCCATTACTAAAATTCAATTTCCCATTTGGACAATCTGCGATTGCATTAGCCATGCAAAAGTCAACACAAATACAGGACTTAATGTAATCCACACGAATGTGTGTATGTATTTGGATTTTCAGAGGTGGTACTTTGGGATGAAGGATCAGTTTCTCGGAGAAAGAGTCTCTCAGGCACATGTCTAACATCATGAGACCCTCTGTGACTCCCAATCCCAGCTTCCATGGCAAGGACACTCGGAGTAACATTTCCACCCACCTTCCTCTTCTCAGGTGGAGCACAGAGCAGCAGAAAGCACGAGAGTAGACACAGAGATCCCATCTTGCTCTGAGACCCGACCTGCCCCACCTCACCAGTCCGCTCTGGCCAGGACGCATGAAGAGCCGCTCAGCAAGGTGAGGACCAAAGCAGATTCAGTTAGAGCAGAAACTGCACAGTCCGGACACAGACATGTTCTTCCTCCTTCTTCCATGTCAGCCATAGGATTGGATATGCTGAAGACACATGTAGTCGTTTCCTGCACAGTGACAACCTCAGCCAAGCTGACAGGGACATGGACAGGATAGTCCCTCCCTGCACCATTCTGGTGGCTGCGAATGAAGCTGGGGCTGTCCTAGAAGCAAGGCTGGGAAAATTCTAGAGACATGAGAATACTGCAAAACAGACATATATTTAAGGAGGTGATAAAAAAAATAAGATTTGAATCTCCTGCCATTATTCTTTATCACAAAGAAATTAGAGTATAAAGCCTGGTGAAGAAGTGTGAAGGTCATTATTTGAATATAAACAAAGCCTACTTCTTTCTTTGGCACAGCCTCCATAAGATCTCAATAGAGCAGGGTTCAGAGAGCTCCCAGGCTGGTGAACACATTGACAAACGGAGGGTGACAAATCCCAAAGCCCTGGAGACAGAAGCTGCTCACTCAGGATCCTCCCAGTCCCCACTGTGTATCTCTCCATCTAGCTCTTCATCTGAACCTTTATCATATTTTTTAATAACCTGGATAACATAAGTAGGTGTATCTCGAAGTGATGTGAGCTGCTCTAGCAAACTAATCACACCTGAGGACAGAATCATGGACCCCTTGTCTACAGCTGGTCAGAGACAGAGGTCCCTTCTTCACTCCCATTAGACGATGACACTCCCGATGCCTAGTCCTTCTCAAGTGGGGGTCTCCATGCCATCCTGCAGAGCCACAGGCAGCTGCTCTGCAGGATGAAGTGTGGACACGAAGCCACTCAGAGCAGACCCAAAGCCAGGAGGCTGTGCCCCTGAGGAAACTCCATCTTGAAAGTGTTTGGTGTCCTGAACACAGCTGGTCAGGGACCGCCACCTGGCTTCTGCGCACTGGAGCTTCTCCACCCCCGGGTGGTTCCTTGTGCCCAGGGACAGTGGGAACACCTTCTCCACAATATGCAGGGACACCAGTTTCCTCCCAAAACATAGACATGGAATGGACATAGATCCAGATTAATAGACTTTCCTGAAACAAAGCTAAATTCATTTTTCTTTCCTGTCACAAACTGCACGGATTGCATGGAGCACTGGGTGTGGTGCAAAAACAATGAATACTGTTATGCTGAATATAAAAAAAAATTAAAAAAATAAATAAAAATTTTAAAAAAATTCCTCTAATAAAAAACCAAAGTCCCAGAGTGATGACAAAAATAATGTGATGGAAAAAAATAATAATAATGTGATGGACTCTCCATACATTCCTAAAGAACAAAAATAAAGGTGAAAGTGAGGGAATCTGAGGAGAAAGGATGAACCACTATGAAAAGGCCTGCACCTCTGGCAGGTGCATCACACGTGTACAGCAGGAGATGAAGCAATGATATCATCGGTAAGGATCTCACCCATGTGCCCCAGTCAGGTCCACTCTGGAGAGCGACCACATGACCACATGGCTGCACCCACTGGGGGGCTGGCTTAGACTTTTGTTCTACTGCATCCGAGCTCCACTCCCCCTCTGCCCAATCCTGCATTCTCCTTCCACAGATGGTGACGTCAAGAACATTCCCCAGCCAGTGTCAGACATGCTAAACTCGATGTGAGTCTGCTTTCTGGAAAGAAATGCCTCTGACCAGTGACTTCAGAGAGTAGCACAGACCACATGGTCAGAATAAACTGCATAGGCAGAAGCTATCCATTTTCTAAAATTCACAGGGACAGAATGATGTCAGAAAGAGAGAATGTGGCAGTAGATAATTGAGCACTTGTTATGAGAAATTAAGTCAATGTGCTGACCCTCAGAGTATTTTGTCTCTCAAACTGGCAAACTCTAGCTCAGGGTTGCTGAAGCCTAAAGTCACAGCTTCTGACTCAGTTCCTAGACCTAAGTCAGTTCCTACTCTCAAGCACATTGAGTCGGGGGAAGGCCAGTTCTCAAAGGAAAGACCTTAAGGTTTTGCCATAGATGTATTGAGAAAATCTGGCTTCTTTATTTTCCCTAAGGAACAGGGGGCTTAGGGCTTGAGCTCAGAATGTGTCCTCTCTGCCCTGAGGACACATGGGGGAAAGCAGTGCTCTGGCATAGAAGACAAGGGAGCAAACTTTCCACAGAGAAAAAGCAAACACACAAAGAAACAATCCATCTCAAATTAAAGCAGTGGAAGAGTATTTGTTAACTGACGAGAAAGCTGTAGGAGTTCATGAGAATTCCTCAGGACAGAAGTTCCATCCATCACAGGAGACACTTTGGGGTTGGGGAAGCAAACTGCTACACAGACTTAAAAGTTTATTAAATAGAGGGATTATGAAGTGGCCTGTGGTCAAAGGAACTTCTGTCTCATTTTCCCCGATTAGAGTGTGGGGACTGGGCGCCCTGACCAAGGATTAACATCAATACAAGAATAACATTCACATCTGACATAAGACATTTCTCCCATTTCTTCAAAGGGCTCACAAGAATCTCAGTCCTACAAAAGTCATTTAGTTATTTACTTATTCCAAAAGAACAAAGAAGAGAAATTACAATATTGGGAAGGAATTCAGATTATGTATATGGAGACCAAGGCTTTGGAATATCTAGATCATTGAATCTCATAAATGACCTTCTTCACATGGTTCAGAAATAACTTTTGAAGTCAGAGGATCAACAGATTCACGTATATATGTGAGCTGCTGGAGCCAAAATTATTCTCTGTGAGTTCATCCTCTAGTGGGTGAGTATTTGCAGTTATTTAGAGAAGGTGACCCATTTCAGTCACAGGTCCCAAGAATCTACCCAACAGACCTCCTGTTGGAGACGCTCCCTCTGCTGGGTGGCAGAGAGAACTTCCATTTGGGCTCAGTCAGGACACAAGTCTGTTGTCTCTCAACTTCACCAAAGCATTATAACTTTGTGCTGTTTCGCTGAGAAAATGTATAGATCGAGTTCTACACAATGTATAACAGCATCACACTCCCGACCCACACAGCCTGACCCCAGAATAATGGTCTCACATAAACTAAGTAGCAAGAGAACTGACCCAAGGGACACAAATTACACACTGGCTTCCAGTTTTATAGATTCCAAAGAGATGTCCCCTGGCGAAGAGACAAAAGTGCAATGAAACCCACCTGTGTAAGTCCTTGCTGGTTGAGGTGATGGTGGTCAAGATTAGAGGCTCCTAGAGTCCTGGTCCCCACCTGGACCTCATGGTGGTTCTTCTTACATCCCTTACAGATGTCGATGATTTCTGTGTTTTGTGCAATGACCAATGTCGATGAAGTCACTTTTATTGTCCAGGGTACAACAAAGTTCCTACATACACAGGAGATAAAGACTCCTCTTAGGAATTAGGAACAGTCTTTCTTCGGTCTACAGTTAGCAGAGGAAAATTTCAAAACCTTCTCTGTCAAGGAGGAAGCTGTAGAAGGTTTTTGCATTTTTTAGGTATTTCAGGGCAAGAAATTATGAGATAAGCAACCAAACACAAAAGGAGACTTTTAAAGTTTTCATGTTACGTTTTGTAGGAAATATTGTTGAAGTTCAAGCATTTGTAGGAAAACATTGTACAAAAAATAGTTTCAAAACTGATACACAGCAAATAAACATGGTGGATGAATAATTTTCAGCCAAATTTCCACACATTGAGGTTTCACATATGGTGATGGGTAATGTGATTCTGATTTCCTTAGTATATTTGACACACAGTGTTAGATATTGTGATTCTTAATTTAACATGTGTAATGAATAGTTTCCAAACTCATCTTAAGATTTATGATATTATCTTATATTGTCCTTTTTGTTTTTTTCCTGATTTTATTCATTTCCACTGGTTTAACTTTCTGAATCATTCACCAGCAGGATTCATTAGGTGGGCCGGCATGTTCAAGAGTAAGATTCAGGATTGCTTGGCTAGCACTCTAAGAAAAGATCAAGGGAGAAAACACATGAAAGAGTAAACAAAATGACAACTAGTAATATACAGGACGTGGGCTATTAGTCCTAGTTCTGTCACAACCTGTCATCAGCACCCAAGTCCCTCCATAGAGTTCAGGGTTTACTTACAGTACCATTGTTACATAATAGTTCTTCTAACTATGGTACAAAATCGCATTCTAGGAGGATTTCCTAGAAGATATTCAGACCGAGATTTGTTGTGGAATCTTGCCTGGACTTGCATGTATTCAGTAATTCTTTAATTCAGTATGACCTTGGATTTGATTCACCTGAGTCTAACAGAACTACAAATTCTATTCCTTCAGTTTCTCCAGGATTTTGTTTGTCCGACAATGACTTGAGTTGTCAGGTAATTTGAGGTTGACACAACACTCACCAACACCTGACTAACACCTACATCAGGCTGACACACACAGAAGCATCAGGTTATGTCCCAGCCTTAATGAAGGATGGTTGGTAAGCTGAAGCCCCAAGCAGCTTAGACCACGCACCCTGTCCCACGGTGATTGTGGTTCACCAAAGACCTCAGAAAATGTCCGTCATAGGTAAGGGTGATGCCAGATTATTAGAAGTTTTATCCCAGTCCTTGCTATTCTCACCTACAGAATCTCATTTTCAACTATAGACTCAGAGCTGTGGATGCTGAACATAAAATCAAGTGAGAGACAACAGCTTCTCACACAGAACTACCAAGGAACCAGACCCCCTAACAGAAATCTGTTACACATGATGAGGAAGCCTCTGTATGGGAAGGGGAAACATTATTTTCTGGGAAATGGGAAACATTCTTCATTCTGTCCATCCATTTAGAAAATGTTGACTTAAGAAATCACTCTGCTTTATACGGTGTGTGTGTGTGTGTGTGTGTGTGTGTGTGTGTGTCTACCTTATCTAATATGTACCATATGGTATGTATGTTCTATCATCTGTCTATCTTGCCTACTATCCACCTATCCATCTATCAGTCTCTCTGGGGAGGGACACAGAACTATGACAGGATACACACCACATTGTAACAATCGGTTATCACAAACTTCATACACTGCCTGAAGCGTATAATTCTGTCTTCTTTCCTATTCTCTCCTGCAGGACTATGAGTTCTCCTTGTGTAAGTGAGAGATTCTTTTCTACCTGTCAAGTTCCTCTCACTTTCATCTTCTCAAAGAGTAGATAATTCACGAGGTCTCAGGGTGAGTTTAATTCATTAATAACATTAATAAATTATGTAAACCATTAACCTGGAAACAGCAGATCCCAGAGACTCCTGATCTCTCTCCAGTTTATCCTGGGATCTGGAGATTGCTGGCTAATCAGCTAGAGTGGGATCTGTTTCCTCTTGGACATTAGCTGACAGGAATCCAGGCAGGATGGCCATTCACCTTCCAGAAATGGCCTCTGGGCATGCGTGCCTGTATAGTCAGGGTCTCTGGAGCTTTCTCAGAAGGCAGGTCTATGAGCACTGTGTCCTGCCACAGATCCTGATTATCACAGAGAGATCCTGCTTCCCGCACAGGCAGTAGGGAATTTGTCTCTGTTAGTTTCCCTGCAAACACAGATGCCATTTTAAGTTACTGCACTCCCAGGAGAGGGACCTGAGCCCTGCTTTTGGCTCTTTCCTCTCAGCCACACCCACCACAAGATTTGCATATTGTCCCCTGGGGAGGACCTTACCTTGGAAGTCTGACATAAAGGTCAGCTCTGACCTTGTGTCTACTTACTAGGACTCATCAGTTCAGCATCTCAAAATGAGGTTCCCTTCTCAGCTACTGGGGCTGCTGATGCTCTGGGTCCCAGGTAAGAGCAGAGTGGGGAGGAGATGGGAGATTGGGGTGGGGAGGGTGAGCTGTCTGGGTGCTGTTACTCCCTATCTGTGCCCTGTCCAGGGGTGAGATTGCCCTCTAAGAGGGGAATTTAATTTTGAAATCTGTGAAAATTATGAGAAATTAAAGGGAACAAAGAACAGTGTTATAGTGAGATGCTGAAAAAAAAAAATTGTGGCCACTTGGTGCCCTGCAATTCTTGGGTTATCCATGGAAACTGGATATATTTACAGTAGGAATCCAATCACAAAATATGATTTAGCCTAATATAAATGAAATTTTAATTCATAATAATGGCTCATAATGTTTCTCCATAACCTGTACTTATCTCTCATTGTTGTAGGATCCAGTGGAGAGGTCACGCTGACACAGACTCCACTCTCACTGTCAGTCACCCCCGGAGAACCAGCCTCCATCTCCTGCAGGGCCAGTCAGAGCCTCGTACACAGTAATGGAAACACGTACTTGAGTTGGTTCCGGCAGAAGCCAGGCCAGTCCCCACAGAGCCTGATCTACAAGGTTTCCAACCGTTTCACTGGGGTCCCAGACAGGTTCAGTGGCAGTGGGTCAGGGACAGATTTCACCCTGAGAATCAGCAGGGTGGAGGCTGACGATGTGGGAGTTTATTACTGTGGGCAAAGTACACATTTTCCTCCCACAGTGGTTCAGCCCTGAACACAAACCTCTTGGTTCGGTGGTCCCCACTGGGCACGTGTGTTGCCTGAGCAGGAAGCAGGCACAGCAGAGGCTCTGAGCTGACATCAGAGGCAGGTGCTGGGGAACTCAGGGCAGTAACGTGCAGCTGAGTGCTCTGGACTGAGTCCTGGCCCCTTGGCAGCAATAGTCTCAACGGGGCACAACCAGCTGTGGAAGGGACATGACCAGCCTGTGGGCTGAGCAGTGAGCTGGCAGGCAGAGCTGCCATGAACCTCAACCTGACACTCCTGGCTTTTGTGTAGGGGTCAGGAACAGGTACTCAGCCTGAGCATCAGAAACCTGAGGCATATGTGTGGCAACACAATTTACATGCATTTTTGAGCTAAGAAATTTTGTGATATTTTCAGTAGGATAATATTTAATATTGTTCATAACTTATTATTGCTTATTTTCGCACTCTCCGAATTTCTTCCTTCCCAGTTACACTAACTGTCTTTGTGCTGTATTCTCTAGATAACATTCTATACACACTAACCTCACAGGAAATATGGCTGAGAAGGATTAGAAAAACTTTTTCTTCAAGCTCCCAGACTTGTAAACCCATAGCAGATATAAGCTCCTAATCCTGTAAAGACGATGTCCATATATACAATGAAATATTACTCTGCCATAAAAAGAATGAAAACTAGTCATTTGGCACAACATGGATGGGCCAATAGGGTATTGTGAGGTGAAGCAAGTCCAGAGAAAGGCAAACATCATATGATTTCATTTATATGTAGAAAGATGTAGAAATATGTAGAAATCTGGCTTCCAGATCAAGGTCCAGACTTTGCTATTCAAATTTTAATCCAGAGGAAAGAGGAAAAAAATCTCATGAAGGAGAAAACACTAGATCTCGGTCTGTCCTTGTGCTGGAACCAATGCACATCATTTTTTCCCCAACATATTTTTAACATTTAAAAAAAAAAAAAGACTTCTAGTGCAAAACCAGGAGCAAAGAGCAGGCTGCTTTTGTCACTAGAAAACATTTTAAATTTGGAAAGAACAGCAAAACAGATTATAAGAGAGAGGCAAACAAAAAATATGGAACACAGGAGAGATAAAGACTCACCACCTGGACACCTTCTCCCTCAACACTTGCCCTCCAAACCACTGAGATGCGCAGTAGACCGTGTCTCTTCTAAAAGTGCCCTGAGCTTCTGTTTCCCTGGCAGCCTGCTCACACACCTCCTACAGCCCCCTTCTGCCTCTTCTAGATTTCTCGGCCTGCCTAAAAACTGGAAGAACAGTGTTTGAAACAAGATAGGTAGACTACACCACTCTAGGATCACCCCTTATGACAGACAAACACCAGCCCCAAAGTCTCTCCTGGTTTCTGGAATATATTAGCTCCCACCTCCTAGAGCCTCTCATACCCTATCACAATTCCTGGTGGTTTCAGTGTATTCAGTATATGACCTTCCATTACCTGATCTCTCAGTTGTTTGGCTGATCCTCCTCCAATTGTCTCTTCCCCACCCAATCTTGATCAGTCACTCTCGTGGCCATGCCTTAGGTGCACCATCAGAAAATCATGACAAGTTCTCCATCATTACAATGCTGAGCACTCAGGGGTGCCTGGGTGCTTCAGTCAGTTGAGCCTCTGCCTTCAGCTGAGGCCATGATCCTGGGGTCCTGGGATGGAGCCCTGCTCAGCAGGGAGTCTGCTTCTCTCTCTCTCCCTTTGCATCCCCCCCTGCTCATGAGCTCAGGTATGCTCGCTCACTCTCTCTCTCTCTCTCCCGCTCTCTCAAATAAATAAATAAATAAATAAAGGGGTTTTTTTAAATGTTGAGTATCTCAGCCTTGACCCATTCTAAGAACTCTGCAGCTCAAACCACTGGCTATGCCACCGCCAATAATTTCTGGCTTTCATTACAGTAAGACCTGAAATCTATAGGAAAAATGTATGTTGTGTTTCCATAGAAATTTTGGCATCTCCGTAGCATAACTTTCCAGGTAATCAGGGTCCAACCCTGGTCATTGTCTTTGAGCTATCTTGCAACTCTTTATAAACTGTTGGTAACAGATAGATGGATGATTCTGTGCTATCTGATAGTGACTTAACTGACATCTTACCTCACCTTGGAGAACCAGCTTGCCTTTCTCTGCAGTTCATTCCTTTACGCCATATATATCTGTGTCTTTGACTTTTCCTTTGAACCAGTTACATCTTCCTAGTTCCCTCATAGCATATGAGTAAAATAATTCAACCCATGTTCGTCATTACTATCTCTCGATGAGAGTCATAATTTTACTGTTCTCTGAAAATTAACTTTTAGTGAATCTATTGGCCTTCCTATATTTTTTTGTCTTTAAGCCCTTCATAGTCTCATTTCCCTCCTTCCTCAGCTGAATTCCATGATCCTTCTTTATAACAACTCCCTATACGCAAGCTCTTCCTCAGCTCTTCCATTGTTTCATTTCATGTACAAAATCCCAAACCTCCACATGCCTGCTGGAGGAAAACACACAGGAAACCCGATGGCTCCAACTTTGATTCATGACCACTCACCTCCTGAGGCCCTTCACCCTGCCCCACAATCATACGTCACTTCCCTGGTCTCGTCAGTCTTCACTCTTTCTCTTTCCTTCTTCAGGTTCTAACAGCTCCTCCTCCATCTTCACTTAAAGTCAAGTATGCCATTTCCTATTTCCTAGGTCAAGATGGTTAGCACCCCTAACAGAAATGTGAAAGAGAGGAAAGAAATGTGAGCCTTTCTACATCAGGAGCATCAGCCCGACAACTTTAAGCACACGAGCAAGCCAGCCAAGATCAATCAAGATCAGTCAAACCTGGGCTCATATTAACAGAACTGTGCAGCCAACCAATAAACATGACAGCAACAAACATGTTATCATTTTAACCCACTGTATTTTGTGGGTGATTTATCACATGACACTAGCTAATGAATACATCATCTGATTTTAAGTTTCTGGACACCCTTACCCGGCAAGGTTTTATTCCCTTTCTTTCTTTACTTTTCTTTATAACCCCTCCAACAAAACATAGTAAAAGTTTACTGATGCCATTGATTATCGCCTGGTTCTCCCAGCTGGGATGAAACCACATGTCTTTGCTCTGGACACAGAGGAAGCCCTCAGAAAACATACCTTGGATGAGAAAAATAGATCTCTTAATAGCAATCCTTGAAGTAGATTTCTAATTATTAAGAGAAGCTGTTTTGTACGTAAAGGCGTTTGGAGCACACTGACCATGTTTGCTGTGGTCTTTCCTGAAGCTAAAGTGCATCAACCCATGCATGTCAGAAGAAGGTGAGGGAATAATAAGATGCTCAGAAATTCTCCATTTCCACACAGAATTGGACACGTTCATGAAATGTTTTCCAAGGGACTCAAGTTATGTCACACTTAGAGCCGTGATTTCCTTCTGTCCCAAGATTACACCTGAATGCCCAAAGGATGACTTTAAAGAAAAAGGTGACAAGGTTGGAAAAAGGTGCTGAGGTACAGTATCCCGTGTTCCTAAAGTGACAGGATTAAAGACAAAGGCATCAGAGCTCCTGGGTTGCTCAGTCTGTTGAGGGTCTGACACTTGGTTTCGGCTCAGGTCATGATCTCAGGCATGTGAGATGGAGCGGTGACAGGTTCCCAACTCAACAGGGTGTCTGCCTGAGACTCTCTCCACCTCCCTGGGCCACTCCTCCCCAGAAATAAATACATAGATAAAATCTTAATAAAAAAAATAATGAGAGAATTGCCTTTGTGAGAATGAGTACACCTGGGAGAAAGGGAGAAGAGAGAAAAGGGAGGTAGGAAAGGAGATGGAGCAGAAATGAATGTGCAGAACACTGCCCAGGAAGGCTGGGAAACAGGGCCCATGCAAGGAAAAAGTGAGAGAGACACTACCTTCCACATGGGAGATTCTGAATAGGCGAGTTCAAAGGTTTTATCCTGGAAAGGTTCAGATGGGAGAGTGATGGAGGGTGAAGAAAAGAGAATAAGGAAATAAAAGAGAAATGTCCCAGAGTCCAAGAGGAGCAGGAAGGGAGAACTGATCTGCCAGGTGGAAAGTTCACAGCCCGTTGTCAGAGGCTAAAGACAGACCTTCCTGGCTCACTCCTGCCATGGGATCCTGGGAAAAACACAGCTTCCTGGGGCAGAAAAACTCCCAACAGCATCCCTAAGACATCTTCACAGCATTTGTCTTCACTAACCTCCCACAAAAAAGGATGCAGGAGGGATGCCTGGGTGGCTCAGTGGGTTAAGTGGCTGCCTTCAGCTCAGGTCATGATCCCAGCATCCTGGGAAAGAGTCCTGCATTGGGCTCCCTGCTCAGAAGGGACCCTGCTTCTCCCTCTGCTTCCTGCTCTCCCCGCTTGTGCTCTCCCTCTCTCTGGAAAATGAATAAATAAAATCTTTTTTAAAAGGTTGGAGGATGCAGGAAAAGTCAGCTCTTTTCATTTTCTGCTGTGCCTTACAAGCCCTGCAAGGAGTATGTCAGAAGTGACTTCTCAGGCAGATAGGGGAACAGACATGTTCAGGGATGAGCGAAGAGGAAGCAGCTGGTACAGCAAAGCCTCCCTGACCCTCAGCCCCGGGGAGCAGGTTTGTGCTCGAGGCTGAAGCACTGTGTGCGGAAAGCTATTACCCTGCTGGCAGTAATAGTTTCCCACATCTTCCACCTGGAGGTTGCTGATGCTGAGGGTGAAGTCTGTCCCAGACCCACTGCCGCTGAACCGGTCTGGGATGCCCGTGGCCCTGCTGGATGCATCATAGATGAGGAGCCTGGGAGCCTGCCCAGGTTTCTGCTGGTACCAGGCTACATAGTTGCTAACACTCTGACTGGCTCTGCAGTTCATGGTGACCCGCTGACCTGGAGACCCAGCCAGCGAGCCTGGAGACTGAGTCATTGTGATGTCCCCATGGGCACCTGCAATCAGAAAAACGGTGATACAGACACACTTTATCCCAGTCACACTGAAATATGTCATTGCAAATGTGCTTCCTGATGGTACCACATGGCAGTATGTCGTTGGGTCTATTTTGGAAATAACCAGTGTTTCTCATTATGTATCTTAGAAAGTTGTTTAAAATGACACTACTCCAGAAGGACTATGGCACTTTTCACCTTCTCACCTGAGACCCACAGCAACAAGCAGAGGAGGACCTGCCTCTGTGATGCCATCTTGCTGCCCCTGCCTGCCCGACGCAGCTCAGCTCACATAGCAAAGGCCCCTTTAATACAGCCTAAGCCGCTGGTCTGGGCCTGGAGGGGCTTATGCAAAGCAGTCAGGGAAAAGAGAAGCAAATCTCATAAGCAGTGGGTTGTGAAAGTACCAAGTGGAAATGTAAGGAGCCAAAAACAACTCCAAAATAGAGTTGTATGACAGGAACACACAAAAGTCAACTCAGAAGCTCTGGGAACATCTTAGAAGTTCTAAAATGACAAAGTGCTACAAGATCAAATGAAAAGCTTCCATTTTCAATTTAAAAATGTCTTTAGTAAATGAAACAAGATGGGATTGGGAGGCAGACAAACCATAAGTGACTCTTAATCTCGCAAAACAAACTGAGGGTTGATGGGGGAGGGGGGTTGGGAGAGGAGGGGTGGGATTATGGACATTGGGGAGGGTATGTGCTATGGTGAGTGCAGTGAAGTGTGTAAACCTGGCGATTCACAGACCTGTACCCCTGGGGATAAAAATATATGTTTATAAAAAATAAATAAATAAATAAATAAATAAATAAAATTTTTTTAAAAATGTCTTTAAATGGGTTCAGTTTCCAGAAAAGATGTACTTGACTCTTCATATCAATAACCGTGGTAAAATAACAAAATATGCTGGGAAATAAATAATGGGAGGCAGGGAGGGGAAAAAGAATTGTAAGTCACAAAAAGAAAGTGGAGAACTTTGGGCCCAGCTTTTTATAAAACCTCTGACTGGAGAACATTGAGCTCTGAAGCCATTTTCTCCTGCAGATGGGTAAGGATGTGGCAAACACTTGACCTCGGGTCCCGGATTTGTGCAAGGGCCAGAGAGATGGAATAGATGGAATATAGGTCCAGAATTTTCTCACTCAGGGAGACATGTGGGACCCTCATTGGACCTAGGGTAAGTCTGAATCCTGATTTTCAGTTATTCTATCTTTTCAGTTCAATATTTCTGTTTTGTGTTGAATTAACCAATGAATGAAATCTAGGTGCCTTCAAAAAAATTCAGTTCCCTCCAGGGGTTTGAGAAGTCAGCACAGGGTTGCTTGGGCACCATATAAACTTCCTGCACCTGTTCCTCATTCTGCTGTTCCTTCTTAAACAGAGGGAAGGGGGCAAGGTTGGGATTCTCTAAAACAATGAGCATGCAGTCCCGGTGAGGAGGGCAGAGTCTGTGGAGGCTTTGGGCGCACTGCAAGTCCAACCACAACATTTCAGCCATCTTTCCTCTGACTGGAGCACATGCCTGAGTCTTCCACTGACAGGTGGCACTCTGGCTGTTCCATGGGTCCCATGGCTGCTGCACTGCTTCATGACATGAGCCATTTCCTAAACCCAGACAGAGCCTGTATCAAGTACCCCTGCTTGGGGATCCACACCTCACCCTCACAAAGGGTCGATTCTCCCATCGCTCTGCTCCTGAATTTGCTCTAGATGATGGTTAATTCTATGTGTTAAGGGAAGTAGGCTTGGGCGTCTATGGGGTGGTCAATGCCAGTTTAGATGTTGCTGCCAAGGTATTTTTTAGTGTGATGAACATCTACATCAATAGCCCTCATCTCCCATGCTGCACAAAAGATTCACCACAGCCCTGTTTCGACTTCAAAAAGGAAAGAATACTTCATTATTATTATAGAAAAACTAATAGAAACAGAAGAGGAATGGGATATGCACATACAGGAAGGGAATAGTAGGCAAGAAATGAGAATAAGGACACTTTACCTCATATCGGGTACTTACAACACCCCACCTCACCAGCTGGGGAAGCCCCGGAGACAGACAGGCTGGAGTCCCCACTGAGAGGCCTGGGTGGAGTGTCCTCCCCTCAGGGGACACTTCCAGTGGAATCCCCACAAGGGCCATACTTATAGGGCAAATAACAGGGTTTGAAATGAAACATTTGTTCACCTACGTGCAGTTTGGAACAAGCTGCATGTCCACATTATCATGTTTCTGTATACTCAAGGAGCCCGAGCTATGTGCATCTGCCTCCCCTCCCAGATCCCATTCTGGGGGGCCAGGCCTGCCTGGAGCAGGAGGGGATGGTAGACAAGGCTGTAGCTCTTGGTGTCAGGAAGAGAAGGGCCATATTCCTGATGAACATAGATGCAAAAATCCTCCACCAAATATTAGCTAACCAAATTCAACAATACATTAAAAGGATCATACACCATGATCATGTAGGATTTATTCCAGAGATGCAAGGATCCTTTAATATCAATAAATCAATCAGCATGAAAGTCACATTAACAAACTTAAGGGTAAAAATCATAGGATTGTCTCAACAGATGCAGAAAAATATTTAATAAAATTCAGTATCTATTTATAAAAAAAAAAAAGAAATACCAAAGGTTATAAAGGATATGGAGGAAGAGGATATGGAGTGGATAATTTCTTTCCTTTATCCTTCCACTCTCTTCCTCCCAGACCTTTCTTAGCCAGCCACGCCATAGGGCATCCATGTCCTTACTTCAGGCCACTTCCCCAGCCAGATTAAGTCAATGACCATTTGTGCTCTTTGAGCGCCTACTAAAAAAAATTTTATTTCATTACAGAATGGTATGGGAGCTGTTCAGTTTAACTTACATCAACATATGATTCGAACCTGGGCTGATCCTGGAGTCCTTTCTCTGCTATTTGTTGGTTGGCAGGTCCTGTGTCTTTAATGAGTTATGCTAAGAAACAAAGACAGGAGAGCTATTACAATGCAGTAAGAAGTTTTTATTATACGCATAGTCCCCTGGGAACAGAACACACAGCAAGCCCCACCGTGACACAGGCAGTACCAAGGTGAGACACACAGGCAGAGAGAAGTACTGCTGGCCTGTATTTTTTACTGCATATTTCATGAGAAGGAATGGAGAAGCAAAGTCAACAAGCTACTCACACATAGGATTGGAGAGTTTGAAAATTTCAGCAGGCTGCACACTATAGGTGTGCCACTTGTCCTCTGGTAGCCAGGGGGATTTGGGTAGACGGAAATGTCACAGATTGCACCTCTCATTGAGAGGAAAAGAGTAGGATTTGGACTCAGGATTTTCTGGCTTGCATATCAAATGTATGCCCTTGGGCAAGTCTTTTACTGCCTCTGGGAATTAGTTAATTTTGGGAGAGAAGGTCCCTTTGTGGCTGGGGCAGCAAGAATGCAGAAATAAGAAAATGGATTAAGTATAAAGCCTCATGAGGCTGCAAATAGGGGCTCATGCAGGGGTGTTTGGGCAAGAGTGGTGAGTATTGTGGTGATCTGAAACTCTTGTCCCATAAATTAAGTGTGCCCGCTGAATCTGCTTGGGTCCAATACTAAAGAAAATACTATCTCCTTTCTGAGATTGTCTGCTGCTGGCTCCACCCAATCTGGTGTGTCTGACATTTCTGGTTTAGGACAAACAGCTCTGTTACACAGTTAACTGATGTTCCGTGGACAGGTCTACCGGGGCCTGTGCTATGCTGGGAACTACTTGTTGAACAGTGAATAGGTTTTTCTTGAGAAGGGCCAAGCCTTGCCAAAGAACTGGGAAGTCTGTGCTTTGAGTCTTCATCTGGGCTTGCCAGAGTGTCCACAACGTCCTTCTGGACACAGATACACATACCACCAAATAATAGGAGAAGTCCTAGGGCCCACATGATAGGGCCACTTGCATCGAGACCTAAGCCTGATGCAGAATCCCTCCAGACTCTGCATCCACTCTATACTGGTGACTTCAAAATTAGCTGATAAACAGAATGGTAGCTTACCCAAGTGTGGAATGTGTTGTCTCAACACTCAGCACTCGACACTCAACAAGATACTGTGCTTCAACCTCCGTGGTTGGAGGTACAAGATGCAAGCACTTGTCCTTTACCTCGGAGAGGATGTGCCCGCATTCCTCAGATATTGGACCCCCTACATAGCCACCAGGGTTGGGGGCCGCATGAATTTTTGTAGGGTTTGCATCCCACTATTGGAGCAAATGTGTTTTTGCAAGTTAGCGAAGTCCTCACCATTTCTCACTCATCATGTGCAAATAACAGGATGTAATTGATAGAGTATGGCCTGGTGAGATGCTCTGGGGATGTTTATACAACACACTGGAGCAGAGAGCAGGGAGTTAAGGTAGCCCTGGGCCACGACTGAGGATGTGACCCGCTCTTCACTGCCAGTGAAAGCAAAGTCCACCAGAGGTCTGCATTATATCATATGCCATGCCCCCTGCTGGTAGACCTTGTAGTTGGCCCAGCACGGGGTAAGCACTTTCAAAACCTCCACAAGCCCAGAAGAGGGAGACTTAACACACCCCGCAAAGAATGGGGCCCAGTGGGGGATTCTTCTGACAAACTTAATTTTTGAGTATTTAAGCAATATGAATGCCCCATAGTTTGCATATCTTCTTCCTCTTAGATCTGAAGTGTTTCTGCCTCTCAGAGTCTTATACCAGAGTCTGTGGGTGTGTGGCATGAACACACTGGACCCATTGAAAGCAGCAAGATGGTGACTCCATCACAGTCCTTGGCCTTCTGCTCCTCTGGGTTCCAGGTGAGAATATTTGGACAAAGCAGGTCAAAGTGGGGGTATGATTTTCCATCCTGACTTTCTTTCTTCATTGGGAATCTTTCCACAGATGAATTTGGCTTATTTTAAAAATAAGTAGTATTCTCTGTCCTACCTAACTAGATACTGGTGACTTCCGTGTACATATCCTGAGACTCTGCTAATGTTTCCTGTGTGGTTTCAGCCTCCCATGGAGAAAGTGTGCTGACCCAGTCTCCTGCCGTCCTGTCCATGGCTCCAAAAGAAGGAGTCACCATCACCTGCCGGACCAGTCAGAACATTAACAAGTGGACTCGGGGAGACAAGATGGCGGGGAAGTAGGAGGGGGCGCCGTTTCAACCTGTACCCTAAAGTGAGCTTATTACCTACCAAAGAACTCCAATCACCCGTGAAATCAGCCTGAGATCAGAATTATACACGTCCAGATCTCTACAGAGGCAGAAGACTCCAGTGGGCAGGTAAA